ATTTTTCAGAGGCATCTAAATGAGCAGGAAATAAGGAATATGGGTAAAATAGAAGATCATGTAATCAGAGTATGTTGTTAGGTTCTTAAATAGCCCAATGAAAGGCGTGTGAGGACTAGGCTGTTTTTAGAGTGCTTTTCATGAAAAGCCAGGGGTAATGTTTGTGTTTTGTACCAGGAATAGGATTCCTTATCTCAGACAAAGTGGGAGAGAGGAAACAGAGCCATGGTTAGCTATGATATGACTCCTGACTTAGAAGGGGCTTCTCCATGTTCCAACCTATTTCTCAGTTGTTCACCAGATGCCTTGAAAGCTGGAGGAGCTTTGCGTGTTGGAGGCACAGGGAAAGCCTTGTGCGGGAGCACCATGGTGTGGTATATAATGGAGACAGATTATGTTACCCTTTTTAGTACAGTTTCAAGAAGAGCAACTGAGAGGAACACTAAATCTCCCTCTGTCTAGGACATGATTCCAACAAGATAACTGACAAGTTTTATAGGTGGGAATCTTCAACGTTGATCAAAAACATTTAAGGTTCCCCATTGACTCATTCCACACTTTGCTAAACACACACACACTAGAAGACAAACTTTTATGTGGGGAGGTGGCTTGTCTGGATCCCTAGAGATTACTACAGTTCCTGTATATAATGACAGGGATTACCCCAATCTTCTCTCTAAACTAACCCTACCTTCCATAATTGAAACTGTATCTTTACTCAGGAGCCCTTACTCATATCAAATTCTCTAGGAAAGCATTCCCATAAAGATAAAATAACTTATTTCTTCAAGATCAAGCATACCTTTAAGATCAGAAATATTGCTTTGGCGGGGAGCCAGCATCATGGTGCAACGTGCCTGGATATCCATGGCCTGCACTACCATAGTAACGGCCACTGTTCCTTCTGGTGTTTGTGTTCACTGGAGTAGACAGTCAAAACTGCCAGACAGCCCTTCCAATCCTGGAAGCCAGGTTATCAGGGAAAGGTAAAAGAAACCTTTTCTAGAAAAATCGAATGAACTTGAGAATGTGGATGTCATCTAGCCTCCAGGTTCCAACTAAAGCAGACGATTCCTCAAAGGGAAGCAGGGGAACTCCTGTGAACAGCAGTGCCCAGCTGAACCCCAGAGCCTCCTGAGATGGCCCTGGGAGGCCCAGAGAGCAGTGCATTCTATGGGGCCAGTGATCACATAACTCAGGGAGGTGCTCAACCTAGTGCTTTTTCTGTACTATGATGCTACTCTAGTTGATCACAATAGCCCATGAAAAATATTTAGTGGATTTTACAGATTCTTAGTGACCCTGCATATTATATAACATCATCTAGCATGTCCAAACCCAGAACACCTATTTCAAGGCTAAAGACAGATTAGGGTTATCTGAGGAACTGCTGTTTGTTCATTATTTTCTTTTCTGACTCGTGAAGCCTACGATTTATTTATTTATTTTCCTCACTAACATGGGCATAACAGTATCCTAGAGGTCTCCAATATCCTTCTGAAGCTGTTAGTCCCTGCCTGCACTGGCTCTTTGTCACCATCGGTTTTTATAAAATTTTAAGCTACGTGATATTCAGCTATATAGGTAGGAAAAATACTTTTAGTTCCTGTTCTCTGCCTAAACCTACTGATAAAAAGAATTTTAACCTGGTAATTAGGAAAAGTTTCTATTTTATATTTTCTGCTAACATCATAATTCAACCACAGAAGAACTCTTCAGCTCTAGAATAATTCCTGTATACTAACTAACTTCTTGCACTCTTTCATCCAGAACTCAACATTCCTCTATATTATGCCATACCTCTAATGGTCTGTAAAGCTTTGAGAGATTTAAAAAAAACATGGACTGCATATTTGGAACAATTTTAGGTTCGCTGAAAGACTGAGTGTAAGGTACAAAGAGCCCTCATATACCCACTACCCCCAAAACACATAGCCTCCCTAACCACTAACTTCTCCCACCAGAGTGATACATTTTTTACAACTGAACTAGTTCATATGAAGTGAGGAGAACATTGCATGACCAGAGGGGAGAACATGTTCAGGAAATAGAGAATAACATTTAGTAGTTCACTGAGCATAAGTGAAACAAAGGTTATATTGGTTGTAGAAGATTGTAAAAGTCCTTAAAAGCTGTGGTGATATGGATTTAGAGTCCATTTGTCATGCAAAATGGAAAGCAGTGAAGACTTGAGAGCATGGAAATAACATTGACTAGCATCATATTTATCACAATTTTCTAAATAGAGTAGGAAGAGGCTAAAGGTTGGGAGAATGGAGGGAGTAGGTGGGATAATAATAACCAGTGTTAATAATAGCTGATGAGTATTGCAGAGTATGCTATAGGTAGTGCAGGTCATGACCTGTTAGATTGTGAAATCAATTTAGTTGATGGAGCAAACACTTTTTTTTTTTGATTAGCCATCTTTTCGGAGGATATTTTTTTTTCATTGATTTTTAGAGAGAGTGGAAGGGAGGGGAAAAAGAAAGAGAGAGGAGAGAGAGAGAAAAATGTTGATGTGCGAAAGACTCTCAATTAGTTGCCTCTGCACACTCCCTGACCAGGGCCAGGGATGGAACCTGCAACCCAGGTACATGCCCTTGACTAGAAATTGAACCCATGACCTTCTGGTGTACAGGCCAATGCTCTAACCACTAAGCAACACCAGCCATGGTGGATTTTCTTGCATTAAATAAAATACCATTTTATGAAACTTCTGTTTTAATATATTGTGTTTTGTTATGTATTTATTGGATTGTAATGTAAAAATATAAAATATGTTTCTTACTATGGATGTGATCAAGATAAACTCCACTAGAGGGTTTATTTATAAAAACCTACCTTGATGGCAATGGTTAATGGCATTCTATGAGTATGCTCTAGTCTAGGCAGAGTCTGAGAGAAATCCTTCAGGCACATAGTGTAGGGATAGATCAATTTGTATTTGAATTAATCGCTGACTGAAACGTCAATCATTTATTCTGCTATTTTTTTTTTTTAAGGAACATGACAGTGAATGTTCAGTTTGATTAGGAGACTATAGTTGTTGAATACTCCATGTCAAAATTTGAGTTATTTGTAACACTTCTGAAAAAAAATCAAATGCAGCCCTGGCCAGTTTGGCTCAGCGGTTAGAGCGTCAGCCTGCGGTCCGGAGAGACCCGGGTTCGGTTCCCGCTAAGGGCACGTACTTCGGTTGCAGTTTGTCCCTGACCCTGGTTGGTCGTGCGGGTGGCAGCCACTCGATGTGTCCCTTCACGTCGATGTTTCTCACTCTCTCTCCCTTCCTCTCTCTCCCTCCCACTCTATCTGTACAAAAAATGGAAAAATATCCTCGGGTGAGGATAAAAACAAAACAAAACAAACAAACAAACAAACAAACAAAAATCAAATGCAAACAGTAGTTCTCAACAGGAGACAGGTTTACTCCTTAGGGGACATTTGCCAATGTATGGAGATATTTTTGGTTATCACAGTTTGGGGGAAGGGGTATGTTACAGGCATCTAGTAGGCAACGATCAGGGTGCTGCTAAATATTCCACACTGCACAGGATAGCCCCTTATAGCTGTTATCCAGGCCAAAATGTCAAAACCACCAAGGTTAAGAGACAGCTTCTAAGTGACCCAAACTAGTTATTTAAAAAAAAAAAATGCTATTCTTAAGAGAAGTTGAAATAAAGATTCATACTATTGGACTAACACAGATTCAGTGATATTAAATGCTCTGACACCAACTTTATTACTGATTTAAAATGATATATCAATATTTGCTTACATGTGACCCAGAAAGAAATGCTGCACCAAACAGTTTAGAAATACAAAGTTTATAACTCTAAGATTGCTTTGAATCTTAACATTAAAAGTCAGAATTATATACCATGAAAATATAAAATAATTTATATGGCTGTGCATATTTTTATGTATGCACAAACAAGTTTGCCTTGAAGTGAATTCAGAGAATTGGCAGCCAGCTGCCTAAATGAATCCTATGATTTAAAATTATTTTCTTAAGAGTATCCTGATTTAAAACCAAATCAATAATAGTACTTGCTGAAATTTTTATAGATCTGATGGTCCAATAAATATAGGTGATCAAAAAAGACTGCAAGGAAAAGAGCATGTGAAATTGGTACCTGAGTTTGCAGCACATGGTGGATACAGGCTACCTACAGCTTCACCAAGTCATTTGTGCTTCCTGGTTTCAGTTCTCTGAACCATGTGTGTTGGTCTGCGTGACTTGTGGAGTCTTTTCTAAATTTTAAACTTCTCTGAAACTAAGTTATGGATCAATTTTTTTATGAGTAAATTGTAAATCTCCTTTCCATTATTTTAGGATTATTTTCAAGCCTTCTCAATAGCACATGGGGAAAATTATTATAAAGTCAGTCAATTTTCCAATGCTTTGGCTTATATTCGAACTATGTGAATAAATGGCACCCCACCCACAGAGCTGAAGTATAGCTGGTGTTGTCACACAGTTTCCACAAAGCTTTCATTTAATTGTATCATAGAATACATGAGACACTTCATTTATGAGGTATGTTTGTTCTCTCACATCACTTTGTTCATGCATTCTTTGTGGTAGGTCCTCAAAATTTATATTTATTTAAAAACATTTTAAAAACCTGGGGTTTCATTTTATGGTTGCAATCTGTCTAGAAAGACAATACTCTTTGATTCTTTAATGTATTAGCACATTCTCAATTTTTTCTTGGCATTTAAGCTTATAATAATGGTCTATAAAGTCACCTCTTATTGGGCCAAACATGTAACTACATCTATAAAAGGTCAAAATTTTGTGCCACTATTTTGGGACTGCTCATGAAATTACCATCACATTCCCCCAAATTTCTTGTAACAAAAATACATTTTTGATTAGAATTAAAATATATACTCATTTATTAATCAGGATTTCTCTGAGTTATTTGTAGGGCAGGGATATCTGTGTGTGTGTGTGTGTGTGTGTGTTAAAAAAATCATCAAAAATTTTGGAGGTTAGAACCAACAGAAAAATTTTATAAGATCTCTGGTTTGACTTATCATAATATTTTGTTCCCCAGATGTAATTTTCTTTTATGAGAATCTCTCCAATGAGTTTATAAGTAAAACATTAGTTTGTTGTGGAAAAGCTCTTTGGAAAACCTGGAAGAATGAGAAAAAGAAAAAAAAAAGTATGTGTGTGCTCTGGAGATTATATAAAGTTTTCCTGAACTCTCATTTGAGAGTTTAGAAACTTACTCACTTAGGGTGATGCCCCTGACAAATCTCATAGATTATCCTCAAAAAATTGCATGGCTCCTCTTTTATACTGCAGGTTGCATGATTTAAAGAGTCAAGTATCCCTGTTGTATCTTTCAAGTCAAGCTAAATTGGCCCACTACTTTACAAATTTAAATCCTTTATGAGTTGGCTATGGGTTATTGGTTGATTAAAGTGATTCTAAAATAAATTATGTCATATGTCTTGTGTTGCTAGGTCCACTCATTTAATCTCATGCCATTAAACTACACTGAATGTTTGGATTCTCATACATGTATGTCCTGCATACAGCTCTCAATGTTAACTTTTACAGTGATCTAGAGGCCCGTTTTTGAAGCAATCCAGTTTCGGTAATAAGTCACCATTGTGTAGACTCCAGGTTTGTTCTTTTGACCACAGTTATCTCCCCAGCTCACAATTCCAATGAGATACCAGGTATCTCTAAGATCCTTTATAACTAATGGTCCCCCAGAATCACCCTGAAAAAAGAGAGAGAGAGAGAGAGAGAAAATTAGTTAAATATAAACTTATTACTTAAGATATTTTGATGCACATATTTTATTATTAGACATATATAGATTACCAATTACAGAATAATTAATTGAAACATGTATTTTAAAATGTATAAAAGCCTTTAGAAGCCTATACAATTTCAATGTTCACATTTAGATTTTTCACAGCTTTATAGATATATGATTGACAGATAAAACTGTATTTTTAAAGTGAACAACGTGGTGATTTGACATACTATACTTTGTGCAATGACATATTATTCTTTGTGAAATGACTAGCACATCCATCCCTCACATAGTTACCTTGTGTGTGTGTGTGTGTGGGGGGGCGGTATATAACATAGAAAATCAAGTTGATGTTGCTTTTCTTCTGACTCTAAGTAGGGCTCTTGGACTTGTGTTTTCTCAGACTAAGTCCCACACCATGTACCCCAGTTGCAATGGCTGTATTCTTGCCTTGAACCCTGTGCCTGAGTCCCTTCCCGGATAACTTTCTCACTTTTTCTGACTCCAGCTTTGTCTTATTACTCACTTGCATAGTCATGGGTCAGGAATCTTATGTCTGCTCCCCAATTCAGGAAAGTCTCCTCATGACCACAAATCCTTTCTGAGGCTTCTCACTAATCTCACCATTTGCCTAGATTCCCATACCCTGTCTGCTCCTAGACTTCTGTCGCCACCTCCCACTTGTCTGTCATGGCCGGGACCTTTGGATTCCCTGAATCCTAACTAACTGCCTTCCCCCACGTTTTTAACAACTGAGGTTAGATGTGTGTCAGATCCTGTTCTTTCCCAGCCTATATACTACATATAGATAGATGTATACAGCATACCCTTTCCTGACAGAGGCTGCCTATGTTGTGTAATTTCTGGGACACTGTGAAGGGCTTCTGCCACCTGATATAAATCCCCATCATTTCATCAGGTAGAAGCACCTTCTTGGAGTTTTCAAGGATCTCACATTATAAAGCAGTGCCTCCAGGAAGAAACCTTTCATACCTTGTCAGAACATATACGTGCAGGGCAGATATTGGACAACAGAGGAGGGCACGGTAAGGACACTAGACAGACACAACATGGTCTAATGCACCTTCTCAGTGTTTGTGACTTCTCACCTCTTATCCTCCTTGTGCTGAGACCCAGAGACTGCCTGGGGTTCCCCCAGATATGAATTGTAATTTCACACCTTCATAATTGTGATATCGTTCTTTCTTTTTTCTGTAGTATTATTTTCTTATTCTACAATTGGGCAAGTGCTATTTATCCTTCAGGCCTCATTTAAATGTGATCTTTGATACTTTCTCTAAAAATATTTGTTCTTCCTTATATCATTTATAACATCACGTCATAGTTCATTGCTCATGATTGTTTCCTTTCTAGAGGTAAGCCCTTTAACAAAAGAGAGTTTTATGAATCTCTGGACTTCTGATATTAAGAAAATTTAATTTTATTTGTTAGTTTGTTTGATAGCATCAAAGGAATTCTGCTCATTTCACTTTACCTAATAAAACATTAACAATATGTATGTTATGAAATTTGCATTTAGCAATTTTTGAATTGACAAGGTATCTGTATTTTGTACTAGTATAAAGAACATAGAATATTTCTTAAGCCAGCTACAATTTTTTTAGTTAATGATATAAAAATAATCTTTTCCCACCTACCCTGCATGCATCATAAATGCCATCCAGGTATCCAGCACAGATCATCCCAAATTTTATATCACTGCCGTATACATGTGGTTGCTTGCACATGTCATCACTTATGGTCTTGAGTCTGGCTTCTCGAAGATCATTTTGAGATTCCCCTTAAGGACAAACAAAGTAATTTTAGTGTTTACAATCAGCATCTTTAGCTAGAATAAAATGAGCACTTTTTTTTTTTTCTTTTTTTCAATCCTCACCCGAGGACATTTTTGCATTTATCTTCAGATAGAGTGGGAGGGAGAGAAAGAGGAAGAGGGAGAGAGAGAGAAACTTCGATGTGATAGAGCCACATTGACTGGCTGCCACCCACACAACCCCAACCGGGGCTGGGACAAACTGCAACTGAGGTACGTGCCCTTAGTGGGTACCGAACCTGGGTCTCTCTGGTCCACGAGTCAACACTCTAACCACTGAGCCAAACTAGCCAGGGCCAGACTTTTTCCCTAATCTTTTTTATACTAAAAGTCGATACAGCAGAATGTTAATGTAAGCAGTTTCCAGAGAAAAATAAAATTCTGTTTAAGTGATTTTTATCATTATCACATTTTTATAAATAGCTATATTCGCAAGAAAAAGCATTTTGTTTATTTTCTTGGAAAATCTTTGAATCATTACATTAAAAATGGTCAGTTTATATATTTAGGAGACATTTATTTTTAAAAACATAAAGTTTGTATTTGTGGACTCTTGATTATTCCCAGAAACTTTGTAGGTCTATATAACTTTCTCCCTTGGTTTGATAAAATAACTGTAACACTATGTTTATTTACTTTTTTCTTTTGATTTTAACACTTTTGCACATAGAATGACATTTAAAGGCAACAATTTTATTTTTTATGTATTGTAAATTTGGGACTCCAGATTATAAACTAGGAAGACAACTGCCTGTGGTACAAACAGAGAGTATCACAAGCATTCACAGATGCTTTATGTCAAACTTTACAGTCATTGGGAAACTGACACTCTAATAGAAGTCAGTGATGATCCCTGTGATTTCTTTGTGATCTCCTTCCCCCCAAGTATGGGTGGAATCTGTGAATATAATGGGCATCACTCTTATGATGAGGTTACGTTATAAGGCACAAGTGAGGGAATATTTTAAGTGTAATTAAGATGAATTCAGTTTGACACTGAGTTCATCAAAAGGGAGATTATGCAAGGTGACCCTGACCTAATCAGGTGAAACCATTTAAAAAAGGCTTAGGACTTCCGGAGTTTAAAGACTTTTCCTGGTGGCATTGAAGAAAGAAGCTGTGACAAGTTCTACAGCTGCAAAAAACTAAATCTCACCAACAACTAGTAAACTTGGGAGAGAACTCAGAGCCATGGATGAGACCACGACCTCAGTCAATACATTGATTGCTGTTGTAAATAAATCCTGGAACTCCCTGAACTATTTCTCAACTATTGAGGGAATGCTGAATGACATTTCTCACACAATATTGATTTTCAAAAAGAATTAGCTTTATATTAATGTTTTCTAGCTTTTATTTTTATTCCTTTCTAATTTTTATTATTTCCTTGCTTCTGTTCATTTTAGGTCTGTTTTGCTGTTCTTTTTTAGTTACTTGCAGTGGGAACTTAGATTAGTGATTTGAGATCTTTCTGCTTTTCTAATTTATACATTTGATGTAAATGTTTTTCTCTGCACCATTTTAGCTGTATTATGTATTCTGCATATATTGATATACTGTTGTTCATATTCATTCAATTCCATGTATACTTAAAATTTTCTTCGAGATGTTCTCTTTGACCTATGAATTATTTAGAAGTGTTTTGTTTAATTTCTAAGCATTTGGAGATTTTTCTGTTAGCTTTCTGTTACTAGCTTCTAGTTTGATTCCATTATAATCAAGAACATTCTATATATGATTTCAATATTTTAAAATTTGTAGAGGATTGTTTTATGGACCTAGATATAGTCTATCTTGATGAATGTCCATGCGTGCTTAAAAAAGTGGGTTTTCTGTTATTCAGTATAGTGTTCTATACATGCCAGTTAGATTCTGTTGCTCCCCCCAAATTATTATGCCAATTATAGTTCTGTGCCAGCTTCAAACTCCAGGCCAGGAAGGTTTCCTTCTACCAAGCCAAAGGGAATCTGAGATGTCCCTCCCACCATCATGAAGCAGAGAATGCAAATCCTGTCTTAGAACAAAACCCATCAGATGAGCCAGGCCTGCAGGTCTACTTAGCCTCCCCTGGAATTAAGAACCTATAGATAATAATTTCTATGATTGGTAATGTGGCCTTAAAGAAAGCAGCACACTCCTCAGTTTGTATAATATGGAATGAAAATGCATGGGATATCTATTCTGGGCCACACTAGTGAAAAGTATTCCTAGTTTCTTAGTAGAGACTGAGAATGAGGTGGTTATTCTTTGGAGTTTATTGTATACATTGTATAGAGCCCTGTGGATGGATTCTGTCATTTTCAGAAAGCCCTTTCTTACCTTCTCAAGCCCAGAGTTAAAGAAACCCTCGTGCTGTTTTGTATGTATGTATCTGGACCAGATTTTAGAATCCAGAGTGTGTCTGACTAAGTATGCCTAGAAAATGTAAAAAAATAAAACCATTTTTATTTTTTAGGAGATTAAGTTGGTATTATCAAGTTAAATCATCTTAGTGAGGACAATGGGAGCTCTGTTATCAGAGACCATTTATTTCTAGACAATGTTCTTGTTTCTGATCACTCTTAAATTAGCCTCTTCTGAAGCAGATTTTGCTGAAAATGGAAAATTTGTGAGGTCATTGAGCAAAATGAAAAATGAGTGATGGAGCAAGCAGACCAAACAGAGGAGGCGAAGAAGGATATAGGAGATGGGGCTCAGAGTGAGGGAATCCTGGAGTGAAGGTAGGCACGAGGAGTGCCACACATACACCTGGCATTGCATAGAGAACCGCACATAGAAATAGATTTTAGTGTTGCTGAAGGAAAACCTTTAAGTCTTCTTTAAAGCCCACCCCTTTGGAACTGCCTCTCCCCCATATGTGATTCTGACCAAGCTGTCAATCACATACCTCCCTTTCTTGGCATAGGCATAAGTCTGAGTATTTGTGTTAGCCAGTCAATTCCAGTACCCCTGGTCACAGCTGGGCCAAAAGAGATCTTTTTAGGGATTCACATAGATTTTGGCAAAAGAGAGAGACAGGTCCTTCTCTTGGCATCTGCTCGGTGAAGATGAGGTAGATCCTGAGCTGCTGTTGGTCACCTTGGAGCTAGAATCCCCCCATAAGACGAGGACAACAGAGCCAGAAAATGGGATGATTCAGAAATCTAGAGCCTGATGACATCATAAGAAGTCCTAAATCCAGTTGTCTCATCTCTTGATTTCCAAATTACAAGGGCATACTTTACTGTTTTATCATTATTTCTTGCTTTAGCTCCTCTGTGTTGAGCTTCTGTCATCTGCAAAACAGTAGCCCTAACTAATCCGACCAAGTTGTGTGGAAATGGTTGGCTGAATAATATTGATGGGAATTAAATCACACTGCCCTAAATAAGGTGTAGTACTCTGCGATCTTTTTTGAGATACACACCACCGTAGTAAAGTGCTCCAAATCCTGTGATATAGACAGTTGAATTTGGTCGGATGGATACAGAGGCTTCTGGCAAACAAACCCGGCGGACGTCATCAGTAAAGGTGACTCTGGGAGAAAACTGCACAACAGCAATGTCATATTCTCTTGCTGGGGAGTGATACCTCTCATGGAGAACAATTCTTTTGACATTTCTTTTCATTAGTGGAGGGTCGATTGTTGTTCCAAAGCTAACAGTCCATTGATATGGATTTGCATTCCTGGAAAAGATTAGAAATGAACAGAATTATAAACTGCAGTACAATAATTGCATGTAGGCTAATAGAAGAGAAAATACCATCCTGAACATACTTGGCTGAAATAATAGTTTTCTTTGACTATTTAAATATAGTCTACTGCTACTATTTTGAAAAATAAAACATATAGAAACAGGATTGTAGAGTTGAATCTAATACAGAATTTTTCAATTTTAGAACTGTAAAGCACATAAAATATCATTTATTTATCTCTTCAACAAATATTTATTGAACATCTATGTGCTGAGCCTTATTCAAAGTGCTGAGGATAAAGTGGTAATAAGACAGAAAAATGTCTTTGAGGTGAGAGTATTAGATTCTAGTGAAGGAAAAAGAAAGAAACAAATGAACAAATAGATACATAACCAAACAGTGATAAGGGTTATGAGTAAAAAAAAATAGATCAATGGAATAGAGTACTAGGGGGTAGTAAGGGAAGACCTTTAAGACTTGACAATTGGGCTAATACCTGGTTGACAAGGAGTCAGCTGTGAGAAGATGGAAAAACAAGTTTCCAGACAAATTTCCCAAAGCTTTAGATCAGATGGGCTGCAGTTCAGGACACAAAAAAGAATGGTGGGGGATGAGGTTGGACAGATAGGTGGGAACAAGATTTTCGAGTGCCTTACATGTCATGAATAAAGTACGTAGATTTTTTTCAAGCAATATGGGAATTAACTGGATGGTTTTATGATGATAGTACTTTAGTCTCATTTATATTTTTTAAAAAACATTTCGGTTCTTTCTGGAGAATAGATTGTTGGAGGGTAAAAGTGGATGAGTTAAAAGCTGTCAGAGGTACTGTGAGAGATGGCTGATTGTGATTTCTAGCTTGGGGCTGGAGCAACAGGTGGATCATGGTACATATAAGGATTGGAAAGGTCATCTAGTAATGAAAAGTCATCTAGGTAAAGCCTGTGTTTTACATTTAAGAAAAATAAGGCCTAGAAGTCTTGCACTATTTGCCTACTATCATATGTGTACTTGCCTCTCTCAGCTCTTCTCTTTATACGACATGGTCTCTAACCAAAAGCTATTAATAGCAAGAAAAATGTTCCTTAACTAATTAATTGAACATCATCCATAAGGGATAAGCAAAGAGAAAAATACTACCCATATAGATACTTGCTTCTTAACCTAATTATTTCTTTCTCTTTTTTTAACTTATCTTTATTGTTGAATGTATTACAGATGTTCCCCCCTTTTTTCTCCCATTGACCCCCTCCTCCCAAATGCTGCCCCCCTCCTGCCTTCCCCACACTATTGTCAGTGTCCATTGGTTATGTATATGTACATAGAAGTTCTTTGATTTATTTCATCCGCCGCCCCCCCACTCCGCCGCCGCTTCCCTTTGAGGTTCTTCAGTCTAACAACCAATTTATACCTAATTCCTTCATCTTTTTCATCTATCCCCCCAACCCCCATCCATTTGGCAAGCAACAAGTTCTCTGTATTTATGACTCTGTTTCTGTTCTTCTTGCTCATTTTGTTTGTAGATTCAATTGTTGATAGATATGTATTAATTGCCATTTTATTGTTCATATTTTTGTTCTCCTTTAAGAAGACCCTTCAACACTTCATATAATACTGGTTTGGTGGCGATGAACTCCTTTAGCTTTTTGTTGTCTGGAGAACTATTGATATGTCCATCGATTCTAAATGATAGCTTTGCAGGGTAGAGTAATCTTGGTTGTTGGTCGTTGCTTTACATCACCTTGAATATCTCTTGCCACTCCTTTCTGGCCTGTAAAGTTTCTTTTGAGAAATCAGCTGATAGCCTTATGGGAGCTCCTTTCTAGGTAATGAACTGCTTTTCTCTTGCTGCTTTTAAGATTCTCTCTTTGTATTTAATCTTTGGCCTTTTAATGATGATGTGTCTTGGTGTGGACCTTGGGTTTATCTTGTTTGGGACTCTGTGCTTCCTGGACTTGCATGTCTGTTTCCTTCACCAAGTTAGGGAAGTATTCTGTCATTATTGTTTCAAATAGGTTTTCAATTTCTTGTTCTCTCTCTTCTCCTTTTGGCACCCCTATGATGCGAATGTTGGCATGCTTGAAATTGTCCCGGAGGCTCCTTACACTATCCTAATTTTTTAGGATTCTTTTTTCTCTTTGCTCTTCTGATTGGGTTTTTTTTTTTTTTTTTTTTTTTTTTTTTTTTGCTTCCTTATAGTCCAAATTGATGGTTTGCTTCTTGGCTTTACCTACTCTACTATTGATTCCCTGTAAATTATTCTTTATTTCAGTTAGTGCATCCTTCATTTCTGACTGGTCCTTTTTTTTATGTTGTTGATGATCTCACTAAGTTCCTTAGAGGTCTCCTTGAGTTCCTTGAAGGTCTCACTAAGTTCCTTGAGTGTCTCACCAACTTTCTTGAGCAACCTTATAACCTGTGTTTTAAACTCTGCATCTGATTGATTACTTATTTCCATTTTGGTTAATTCTTTTCCTGGAATTTTGTTCTTGTCTTTCATTTGGGACAAGTTTGTTTGTCTCCTCATTTTGGCTGCTTCCCTGTGATTGTTTCTATATATTAGGTAGAGTTGCTATGTCTCCTAGGTTTTGTAGGGTGGCCTATTGTTGTAGGTGTACTATAGGATCCAGTGGCACAGCCTCCATGATCACCCTAGCTGGGTTCTCGAGGTGCACCCCTAGTGTGGAATTCACTATTCTAGGCAGGATCTGACCAACAAAGAGTCTGACAGCTCATTTATTCTGGGTTCTGCTTTTCTTTTAATGTAATCTAAATAATGATGTAGTTTTGTGAACTGACTCATAGTAGGCTATCTTACAACAAAAATTTCTAAGCAAACTTCATATATTAAAGCACATACATTCATACCTACTAAACTTCATCATTTAGTTCTTGCTTATTACTCTAACATAAAGTCCTTTTGAAATTTGTTTTTCTTACCCACACATTTGTTTTTTCTTTTCAGTATATGTCATCAGCTACTTTGTTGGGCATGACTTACATATCATCTGCTAAGCCTGGAAAGTATACTGTCTTGGATAGGCTGCAGCGTTGAGGCCTTTGATGGGCTATAAATACCCTCAGCATTTCTATAGCAATTCTTAATCATCATCTTTTGATAGAAGTGTTTAGTTACTGAGCTACTTATTACCCTTGCATTCAATTTATATTATTTAATTTTTGTCCAGAAGCCTTCTAATCTTGCTTTGTCATATGACATCAGTTATACTATCTTGAGAAGTATGTTTAGTTCTTAGAAGCATATTTTAAGGGGACATGGAAAAAATCTAGAGCATTTAGAGAAGAACTAAGATGGTGGGACATCTGCAAGTTGATGCTGTGAAATAGAGTAGTGATATTTATTTTCACATATGGTTTGGATATTTTCACTTATTTTATGTTTGTCCTAAAAAAAAGAAACAGCCCTGGCCGGTTTGGCTCAGCGGTTAGAGCGTTGGCCTGCGGTCCTGAGAGACCCGGGTTCGGTTCCCGCTAAGGACACGTACCTCGGTTGCAGTTTGTCCCCGGCCCTGGTCGGTTGTGCAGGTGGCAGCCACTCGATGTGTTCCTTTCACATCGATGTTTCTCTCTCTCTCTCTGTTCCTCTCTCTCCCTCCCTCTCTACCTGAACAAAAAATGGAAAAATGTCCTCGGGTGAAGCTAAAAAAAAAGAAACAGAGGAATGGCTGTTCTGTGGATGAAAAAATAAATCTGATCCTTGTTCCAGATGAAAGAGCAAATATCAATGGATTGAAGTTGTTAGGGTGCAGATTTGGTGTTGAATGGTCTAAAGAAATTTGCAAAAGTAGAACACAACATTGGCTAACTTTGGGGTCACTAAGCTCTCCATTACTTTGAGATATTCAGTCCTAAACTAGGTACCTGCATAAGGGATTTCTGTGCTTTCTAACATATTGGTCTATTAAGTTCTCATGTCTTTAAACTTTAAGGATCTAAATCTCTAAAAAAATTTAGACTCATAGGAAGGCAGAATTTGCCATAGTATTAAAAGTCAGGATTTTAGGGCTCTAAAGGAACTCGAGTCTGTCTATTTTTATTACACTATGGTTTAATAACTTGCCAAGGTCACAGAGATCAAATCCAGCTCCCCTGCTGTCTGGGCAATGTTTTGTCCACTAAGTCCTGCTGCTGTCTGCTTTAGAGAAAAAACCAGGAACCCTTGTTCTCATCATAATATCTGGTACTAGCAAAAGACATAAAATGAATCTACTTAGAAAGAAATCCAAAATGTTAAATGTAACAGTAAATAAAAAGGTCTAACTGAAAAATAAAACTTAAATGATAAAAAAGTCATTTTATCTTATATTTAAAAACATTTATGGTGTAACTATGCTCAGAATGAATAAAGAATTGTTAACTGCCCATTTGAGACGATTATATGATAGCACAGTGCTGCCTGTCCTTCCAGTTTGCCTGTTGCAGCACTGTTGTCAAGAGGCACTGTAGTACATGAAGGTCTCATTGGGTGGCCCAAAGACCACTTAATATTTGTTACTCAAAGGAATCTCTCTCTCTCTTTCTTTTTTTAATCCACCAGAGGAGATTTTTCTATTGATTTCTAGACAGAGTGGGAGGGATGGAGAAAGAGAGATATTCAGTGTGAGAGAGACACATTGATTGGTTGGCTCCCGCAGGATCCCAACCAGGGCTGAGGACTGAACCTGCAAGCGAGGTACATGCCCTTAACCAGGTATCGAACCCGAGACTCTTTGGTCGGCGGGCCAGTGCTCTAACAGCTGAGCCAAACTGTCCAGGGCTAAAAAGAAAAATCTCTTTTGAAGTGCCTGCTCTTATTATCTTGGTAATTTTGTCATTTTGGTTGTGAACTGCTCTAATTTCATCAGATCTTCATGTCAGTGCTATAAAATTTGATTTGAGCATTTTTCCATTATCACACTATCACACTTCCTACATCCATTGAAGATTTCAATTTTATTTTGTAATTATTTTGGTTATTTATGATCAGCATGAGACTGGCCCAAGTGTTCGGCAGAAACACATATGAATATTAAAAGGAGAGGATTGTTTGAGAAAGGATTTATTATATATGTTATCAGTAAATACTTTGTGTTAGGATGACTGTTGCTTCCTAATACAATTTATTTAAAACTCTGAGGATCTGATCAATGAATACTATAATAGTAAGTACTATACCTCCCCATAAAACTTTTAAAATAAGTATGCAAGTGTAGCATTGATTCTGAAAAGAACCTAAAAGGAGTTTCTCATTTTACTTTAGTAATATTTGGGGACATTGATTATTACTCAGTACGTAATAAAATTCAGAGGTTTCTTAGCAGCAGTGGGGCCCAACTTAAGGTCTATAACTTCTTTTTTTTTTTTTTAATCCTCACTCGAGGACATTTCTCCATTTTTTGTTTAGATAGAGTGGGGAGAAAGAGAGAGAGAGAGAAACATCGACATGAAAGGGACACATCGAGTGGTTGCCACCCGCACGACCCAACCAGGGCTGGGGACAAACTGCAACCGAGGTACATGCCCTTAGCGGGAACTGAACCCCGGTCTCTCTGGGCCGCAGGCTGATGCTCTACCGCTGAGCCAAACTGACCAGGGCTATAACTTCTTTTCTTAAATCCTCATCCGAGGATATTATTCCATTGGGTTTTAGACAAGAGTGGAAGGGATGGTAGGAGGTGATGGGGGGGACATTGATGTGTGAGAGACACATCAATTGGTGGCCTCCCATATGACCCTGACTGGCTAGGAATTGCACCTGCAATCCCAGTAAGTGTTCTTGACCAGGAATTGAACCTGTGACTCTTTGGTCCACGGGCTGACGCTCTAACTGCTGAGCCAAATCAGCCAGGGCTATAACTTACCTCTTAAAACAGTGTGCTGCAGTGACAAGCCATGTATTACTGATCAAGGTGGCCCCACACTGATGTATATTATTATGCTGAAGGGATGCTTGCCAAGGCCAGGCAGCCTTGGCCGCAATGTCTCCAGACATTATTCTGTTGACTATTAATGGAACAACTCGTTTACCACAACCTAAAAGAGACAGATTAAGTGATAAGAAATGTATTTTTTTATACAATCTAATAAAGTACTAAAATGCAATATTTGCATCTATTATTATATATACATGTACAATATTAATATCCATCCTCTATTTACCGATGTGTTAATGTTTTGCTCTTTCCCTACATTTATAGATATGGACATATAGCCTACTGAAGCTATGTACAGCTGCAGAGGGTTGACACACTACAAAGTGTGTATCCTAAGGACTTGTGGTGTCAATTATCTGTATGTCCTGGGAGCTCACACTAAGATTATTGTTTCTGATTTTAGGTGATTTAACAGTGTTACTTTAACATGAACTTCTCACAAGAGGACTGACCAGACAACTAACTATCTATTTGTTGGAGCTCCTTTTTCTAAAAATTTGTCTGAGTAACTGGTTCTTAAAGTGTGCATGAGTTAATGTATTATGACCAGTCTCTCTTCAGGATGGAGGGGTCCATGTTTCACATAAGTATCACATTCATTATTGGTGGGAATAAATATGTACTATATTATGTACATCAGATCAGAGAGTAGTCTGCAGCTTAAGGTTCCTGCTATGAATTATGCTTCTTTAGAGAATGGTACTAATAAAGAAAAAATGGTAACTTCAATTCTTGTTCCAACAGAAAAGAAAATTTATTCTACTGGGATTGATTACACTGCAACTGGCTAGTCGTTTTAGAAATCGCCACCACTCTGCCATTACTCTAAGTCAGACTATCCCTTTTCTTATCTGAAGGACTGCTACAGCTTTCCAGTTCCACTCCCTGCTCCTAGGCTCATTCCTCGAATCCGTTCTCGGCGCTGAAAACGGAGTGATCTTTCTGATATGAGTAAAACTCTTCGGTGATTTCCTGCTGCCTTCCAAATAAAGTCAAAATATTTCAGCACGATTCTGGTCTTTGATCACTGTGAATCGCACCTCTTTCCAATACCCTCAGTCCTCATTTCGTGTTTCAGCCATACTGACATTTTGCAGCTACAAGAAATGACCATGTGCTTTTTTTTCAGAAGACATTTTTGCACACTACTTCCCTTGCCCAGGACACCCATCCACTTGTCACATGGCTCATGGCCTCTCCTCTTTGCTGTCTCAAATCACTTTCTGACTCCACAAGAAGAGATTAGCTGATTCTGTGATGTTAGCAGCATGCACGTTCTCTGTCATAGCATTTATCACATTACTTTAACATTTTCTGATTTATTTATATCTTCCCCTATCTTCAAGAAGTAGGATCATGTCTTATTTTCAACATTTACTTCCTGGCACAAAGTAGATATTAAAATATTTGTTTAATTAATTAATTAATTAAGATGTAGAGTGTAGTGTGTTTGCAAGATACACAGGTGAATGCATGAACACCTTTGCTCAAATTCATCACCACTTTTATAAAATCTTTCAAAATTTTAATATAAAGTAAGGAAGTGGAGCTGCTGTCAACTGTGAAGGTGAGATATATTAAGCAAATTTTATAGGTCAGTCACAGATGATGGGATTTATCTCCTCCCCATCTATTATTTTATCTCTCAGCAGAAAGCACATTTAATAGCATTTAAAAGTTAGAAAAACATCTGTTTATTTCAAACCAGAAATATATATCTATTTATATAGAGAGATTTATCTATCTATCTATATATATTCTTCCTCAAATTGCTCCAAAATTTCAACCATATAAAATGTTTTTCATAAACATGAGAAAAGATCAGTTTAAGAATTACAAATGAAAGCATTTCCATATTACCCAATTGTTATTCTCTCCCAAAGAAAAGTAGGACATGGATGGGAAATTATGAGCTAATATTTGAAGATATTGTTCTTTCTCATGTGGAAATTGAACTTGTTTTATAAGTTAACTAGACTTACATGCTTGGATAGTTAACTTCCCTGTTGATGAGCTCATTGCTGAAAAACAAAATAGAACAAAGAATAATAATTTGATATTCTCCTGGTTGGCTACAATGGCCTGAAATTATCAGAGTACTGACCATATATGGATTCTAGACAGTTGAACATACTCATCAGTCAGGAGAATGGCTACCAGATATAACAGAATATGTGTACAATTTTTGCAGAGACTTATAGGCAACCTCCAATTAGGTGGATAAAACCTCAAGCAGTGGGTGATTAAGGCACAAATTGTGGATAATTAAAATTCACAAATAATTTGTAGTTATACAGAACAGTGGTTTCCAGTGATTTAGGATAAAGCCTCTTTAGATTTCACCTCAGAAGAGAGAGGAAGTGGGGAAAGAGGGAGCAAGTAGAGGGGATGTCGAGGCTCAAACCTGATCAATCAGAACGGTCTGCTTTTACTTCTGTTTGAGAATTCACAGAAGCCTGTCTTTGGTGAAAGGGTTCAGGAATAAAAATACTTTGCAAACACATCCACATAAACTGTATTTAAAATACTTCTAAATCACAGTTCCTAAATTATCAAAATGATTTTTTTTTCTGAAGAATAAATGATTTGATTGCATATTCGTATCTAAAATCAATTTTTTAACATAAACTAGGATTAAACTCTGTTAATTTCCAACAAAGTTAGGGATCTGATCAAGAAAACGTGAATAATTAAATTTAAATTAGTAGAAGGTTGCCTGAAAACTGTGATGATTTTCCAGATAAAATTGCTCACTGAGCAGAATAAAGATACACTGTTTTACAAATTCCTACCAGTGGCATGTTTCTTAGATTCATGTTCTCTGCATCTAACTTCTCATTGTGCAAAATAAAATTTTTTTTCTACTCACCTTTTATAAATCCTACTTGGGAAACTAGCAATAATGAACTCTGCAAAGTGGGGGTTTCGAAAATATTGAATTCAAAGATACCCTTAAAGACATGCCCAAATCATTATATGGTGAATAACCAATTTCTCAGGACAGATTCTCAGTGCTTACTTTATGGAAGGAACTCAATTTTCTGTCAAATATAGTTTTTAATAAATTTTTTGTTCCATGGGGTAGTCCCAGAGATGTGGAAGTGGGGTACAGACTGACAATCCCCTGAAGAGGGGGGAGTGGGAGAGATAAACCCAGAACTTATATGCATGTGTGCATGAACAATGGACATGGACAACAAAGGTGGGGACAGGGTGGGGAGGGAGGGAGGGGGGAATCAGTGGGGGAAAGAGGGGAAACAGCTGTAACAGAAATAATTAATTTAAAAAAATTTGTTTCACTTAAAAAAACGAATATGCCTCATATTAGCAATACACTAAAATGGAAAATAATGTGATGTTAGAATTCTTCACTTAAAACTTCTATGGCTTAGTTTGAGCCCGAGGCCAATAGCCCCTTTACAGCAATGATACCAGGTTAAGTGTAATGGTTGTAAGTGCAATTGGACTTTTAAGGGTTGAATTTTTAGGGGAGGATGATTATACCTGGAGGTAAACTACCTATACACAAGTAACTAGCTGTTGAAGGTTTCTGATTGTGATCAGTATTTTGACTATCCACATCTACTAGTGCAAAGAAACATTAACACCCTAGTCTTGAAAGTAACCCTCTCACACATTTCTGAGTTGAGAAAATTGTAGTTCGTATTCAGGACTCTGCATGCTACAAGTAAGACGATGGCACCTGAGCACACACCCACTGCACGCAGGCAGTGGGCGGCTCTTCCACAGCCATGGTATTTGCAATGAAAGATGTTGATTTGGGCTCTGCGTTGACACACTGCATCACATAAAGGACCCACACCACACAGTTATTTGTCAAAACAAAACACATATTTTGATAAATTATGGCTGAATCTTGGGCTGCAGTTTTGCACTCATTGTTAATCCCCCAAATTAGGTGTTTCTATAGGGCACTGATTTTGTCTGTAAGAATTGCCTTGAGGTTTCCTACTGAGCTTTCCACTAAATGGGCCTTTCCTAAGTGCTAGCAAACACTGCTCTTTTTACATTTAGAAATTTGGAAAACTTCAAGGTTCGAGCTTTTTCTATTACTGGTCAATCACTCACATTAATCCTTTCAGGTTTCCAAAGCATATGTACAATTTACTATTTTTCTAAGTGGTAATAGCCTATATGCTCCATATATATTTCCCCCCTATATCCTCATGGTGCTTCTATGATTTTAGGAAGAACAAACATTATCATTGCAATTTTATAGATTAGAAAATGAAGAAAATAGACCAATTACTTGGGTGGTCCTACAGTGACTCAGTGAAGTTGGAAGTAGTCAGGTAATTCTTACATCAGGTTCTCCATCAGCACATACTGCCCTTTAATCTACTACAGCCATGAAAATCAACTGCAGTTTACAGACTGAGCATGGAAGAAACAAAAAGACCAGGCAGTCCATGACCACTTTATGCCTCATTTCAGGTTTCAGATAGTTCAGGCTTTTAAATTCCTGGTAAATTAACTGGTTATTGGAAATTAAATAGAACATACCATGTAACTTATCAGGATTGCCACTATTTCATAACCTCGATTCATTTGTTTCCCCACCTAACAAAGTAGGTGGATTAAGCCCTTGGCAGTTTCTCTCCTCTAGGGTTGGGAGAGGTTCACAAGATTTATTCCTTGAGTAGCTGACTCTTTGCCACATCACCAAACTCTGCCCATCCCATTCACTCAGATTTTTACTTCCTGGTCAGGTTTCCTCTTGAAGAGTCAGCCAGACCCTTACAAGGGCATGACATCCTGTCTCCCATCTGATATTAATCACTGTGATTCTTCTCTGTGACTGTAAGGATGGTGTCTATTGGAGTTTGTAGGGGAAGTCTGTTCTCTACGGGAAGCAGATGCTTGTGGAAGCTGCTTAATGTCCAAGGGTAAACAGGTTTCTGTTTAGCTGCACTTCTCCAAGTTTTTAATATTGTAATATAAGGAATGAATTTCCAAGACATGAATCTTAAGACAGAATTTCTAAAATGTGTTTGACCACAGAACCATTTTAAATAGAGCCTCTCAAGAAATTAGAGCTCTAGATTTTAATCTTATCTCCTTTCAATAATTAGAGTCATTAACTGTGTTAGCCCTTCTTTCACATCTATAAAAGTGAATTTGCCGACTTCACAGGACTCTAGAAACTAGATGCCCATTTAAAGGGCATAGAAAGGGCCTCGATAAATGTTCATTCTCTTTTCAGAGAAGTGATAATGGTATAATGGTTCCCATACTTTTTTCTAGGTTAGTGATTTTTACTTATTACTTATAAGATGGTGTTAGTGGTACCAAAGTTGGTTTATGATTTTTCCAAATGCCAAGGACAAAAGTTAAGAAAAACTTCACAATTTCACTATATACAGAAACTATCCACATTTTTTAAAAGGCAACCCATGAGCTTATGTTTTAGGAAGGTCCCATCCAGGAAAGCAGTTGTTGCTAAATGCTTAGTATTTTCACTTACTTAGACATGGAGGAAGTGGCTGGGTCAGATGAACTCTCTGTTAATGGTAAATATTTGTCTTTATTTTGGGATGAGTGTCAGTCAGTGACTACAAGAAAAAACCACTTGACAACTTATTGCAGGCAGTAATAATACATCTCCAATAATAAAACCTTGAAATTTTACTTTTTTAACTTGAAATTTTTTCCCCATCTAAATTCTAGCTGTTATTTGGAATAGAAATATGGCATGTAAGTTTAAGATGAGACATAAAATGAATCTAATAGAGAATTTCACATCACACAGAAAGGCATCTACTTACCATTAACGTGAACCAATGAGGCATTTATTGCCAAGGCTCTTGTGTTCCTTAGCTTCTGGCTTAAGAGGCTATGGATTTTCTTCTCCCTTACTGACCCTTGAGCAGCGTAAGGGAACTGGAACACCATAATGACATCAGCTTTCACACCATCCTTCTCTGGACTGTGATACACAAGAGAAGAATGATTACTCAAATACATCTGTTATCATCCATCTTACACCCTTTCCTGTATTTTCTTCCCCTGAATTATGCCTCAGCTGCTGGAAATGTCAAGTGCTAATCACAGGGACACTCTTTTTTTATTTTTTTATCCTCACCCAAGGACATTTTTTCCGTTTTTTTGTTCAGACAGAGTGGGAGGGAGAGAGAGAGAAACATCGACATGAAAGGGACATATTTAGTGGCTGCCACCCGCATGACCCAACCAGGGTCAGGAAAAAACTGCAACCAACGTACATGCCTTTAGCGGGAACCAAACCCGGGTCTCTCTGGACTGCAGGCCAACACTGTAACCGCTGAGCCAAAGTGACCAGGGCACGGACACTCTTTTATATGTCACTCTCTGACCCAAGGGCATTTTATATGTTTCCTCTTCAAGTTTTCATTATGTTTTGGGTACATTTTTACCCATTAATTTGAGACTTTTAGCAATTGGATAAGACTCAGTCATCAAAAAATTGTCACTGGAATCAAACTCTGGGGATTGGAAGAAACTGCAATGATCTCTTTGGCTGGTCACTCATGTATCTGATACCTGAATCACCTCTACAGCTCTCTTGACAAGTGGTCCTCTAATCCCAGCACAGGAATTTAAATAATAGGAAATGTACTTCTCTAAAGAGTCTTATTTCTCTGTGGCCAGCCCTGATTTTAAGGAAGTTCTTCATTTTAAGTTGAAATATGTCTCCTTATGTCTTTCATTCATTAAGCTTAAGTCTACCAAGCAGTATATACATAAAACATCAGTTCCCCTTTTCTACATAACATATCTGAAGATAGTGATACTGTGGTCTCTGAGTCTTCTGGTTAAACATGTTCAGTTTCTTCAAACACACACACACACACACACACACACACACACACACACACACACACAATTTAAGTCCATTTAACCTGTGGGACTGAATTTTTACATACCCTTAAAGTGGGAAAGCGAAGCAATGAAATGTCTTTAAAGAACTCAGATGTATATATTGATCTGCCATGTCTCTCATATTCATACTTCACAAGATTGAAGCGCTAAAAAAAGTACTAAATGGCCTATTTTCTGAAATCCTTTGACTAAAAAAAGGAATTTATATAAATTCTGGGGCATTTTTATATATTGTGGTCCATTTGGGCTCTAGCAAATGAAAATATAAATAATCAGAATTCTATGTCAAATTGGCAAACATGACCAAGTAGCTTTCCCTGTTTAATCACAGGGGAGACATTATTTGCCAGGTGGTATTTCTCTGGACTCACACAGAAGTTCATTGATAATGGCTACAAAAAAAAGGAGTTCACAAGATTATGATAATGTTGCATTAATATTTGGCAAACCAGAATTTGAAAATAGAGAGCATGCAATCTAGAAAGTTTCAGCAAACATGTGCTTTTTATCTCCTAAATATTATAGAATTTATCCAGCTTCTATTTTTAAATATTTTGGAGGTCACAAGTTACTCAGTAAAGGTGTAAGGAACTTGGAGTAAGTCTGTTAATTGGCATTAGTCTATTGGTGAGAAAAGTGATTATTTCCTTCAAATAAATCTCTCTGAATGTACTCATTTTATTGAAGAAGATGAGTCATACAGGCTCATACATTTACACCTATTACGTATATGTTCTGCTATGTGCTTTCCAAATAACACAATTGAAATCTCTGAGCAATTTCTGTAACTGATATGAGTCTTCCCCCTCCACCACAACAAACAGAACATTCTTTAAAACAGAAACATCTTTTTGTTTAGGTATGCCTCCTGACACTGGGGTTTTATTACAGGTAAAACTGATTATCCCATATTGTGTCAACTTTGCCTTCTTAACATTTTTGAAATGACGTATTTGTCAAAAAAGTACAAGTTGGTGCCTGTGGTGATGTGCTGCTGGGTTTTCCCAAGACCTTAGATTCTGGTAGTTCCAGGCCTTGAATCCTGGTTCTGTCACTTGGGGAAACTGTGCCTTGGGAAACTTTGAACCTCCCTGAGTTTTTGTTTTCTCTTTATAAAATGTGGCCAATGCTGTCTTGAGACTGTTGTGAAGATCATGTTTATGGGAAACCCTAGTTGAGAACCTGTCTCACAGAGGTGCACAATATGTGAGGGTCCCTTTGTCCCGTTAGGCTGTACTCCACCTTTGCCCCAACATACATACGTCAGCTTGACTACCCGGTTGTTGATATAATGCTTGTTCAAGGCCGAATCTATAAATATCTCATCCACCTGTTATTACAAGAGACAAACTTTGTGTTAACAAGGTATTTTATAATAAGAATATACCCCCGATTAAATGTTAAAGCAGTAGAAAAAAAATTTAACATGAATAATACCAATATTTAAACCAGTGGTTCTCTACCCTCACTGTGCAACAAAATAATTTGCAGAATTAAAAAAAATTACATGTGTTGGGGTTTATCTTCTAGTTTTATTGGTCTAGAAAGGACGTAGGCATTCATACTGTAAGAATTTTGCCAGTGATTTTGAATGTGCTGGTCTGGGTGTCTTGGATAGAAGATACCTAAACCCCACAGAAGATAAAGTAGAAAAATCCACAGCAGCCATGGAACATGGAGGGAGGCCTTGAGAGAACTTTGGCTCAGTCCTGGGTTTGAAGCCTATCCTGATGCTCACAAACGGAGCCAATTTGAGCCTTGGTTTCTTAACCTGTAAAACAAAGATGTTGTATGCTGCTCCTAGGGTTGAAAGATTAAACACATATAAAATGCTGGATATATTACGGCAGTCGACTACTGGTGGTTCCATAGTCTCCAGCTGGGCATTTCAGGTCTCAGATTCCCTTGCAGGTCTTTGGCTGTTTGTACAGGAAAGAGGGATTAGAAGAGAGCCAACGAGTTTTAAATTTTTGTTGTTGATTGTTGGCTCTAGAGTAAGTCAAGGAGGAAGAAAGAGAAAGATGGAGTTACATGTTACATTAGAGTTGCATTAATCAGTTTGTATCACCAGCGCCCCTATGTTTTGGCCCCTCTGCACAGTTTTAATAACCTGTCATAGCATCATTATGCTGTGGTTTATCCGTAGATTCTGGCTTGCAGTATCCTCCAGTGACCACTTGGTGGCAACAGTGTCATTGGAATGCTGGCACTGCATTGCACATTTGATAGATGAGCCACAGGTGCAACAAACCACGTCCTACATCCTTAAGGAAAGGGCAAGAAGACCAACTCTCATTTTGAAAAAAACACAAAAGATAAAAATAAATGGAAGGCTGTTTTGGGGATCAAGGAACAAGTTATAACTTCCTTAGCATTATCAGGCATTCACAAATGCTTGAGAACCAAAATATTACTGATGTCCTTTAATCCCTACAATAACTCTATGGACTAAGAATTATATCGATCTTGTTTTATTTGAATAAGAAACTGAGATTCAGAGACATTATATAAATTTTTCTGACATCATGTGAATAATAAACTGGGACTTAAACCCAGGTCTTCTCTCTGTAGGTCTCTTCTCATCAAACACATACCTCCCTGTTAAATGTGGTGTACATCTTACTTCAATTCCTTGTATAAAAACATACTAACAAGTTATAAAATAACTAGTTGGTTTACTTTAAAAGATAAAGTATAAAGGTTGTAAAGATATGCATTTGGTAATAGCTGTACACTTAAGATCAAAAGCAGTACTTAGAAGACAGACAAATTGCTAGGATCCAAAATATACTTTTATTTGTATTTAAATAAGAAAAGCAAACTTTGATGAGGAGGTGTGGGATGTATATGCTAGAAACAAAACCGTTTTGCAAGAGTGACACTGTTATAATCATTTCTCTTCCTGTCACCCACCGCCAGTCCTGTTACTCAGTATTCTGGGGAAATCCAAAAGAAAAGCAAAGGCAAACAAACAAACAAACGCAACAGGGAAAAAGTGACAAATATAAAAAAGAAGAAAAGTTAACAGCAGTTGGGTATTTTAAAAGCTTGGTTTGTAATTATCCTCTGAAATTCCAGCCACAGCCGATCCCTTGGCCCTTTGTAACTTACTGGTGAAGGTACTGGAGTGAACTTTTGACTGTAGATGACATCATTCATATGGCAACATGCCTGCTGAGAAGACTATCTAAACCCAGCATCAGTTTTGTCTGAGTGGCTCAACTGTCTGGGAAGATAGGTGCTGAAATAATAACAGAAGAAGAATCTAGGTAGAAGTAACTTCAGTAATCATAGAAATAAAGAAGTTCCTTCCTTATAACTCAAATTCCAGTACCCTGCCTTGATTCGGTCTGGGGTAAGGCCCAAGATCTTCAGGTGGTCAGGTAGCCTGAGGAAAACACTTTGAGAAATGCTAGGGCATAGACTGGGTAGGACGGTTCTTCCACTAAAGAAATTTATGACGGGGAAAATCAGAACGAGCTTTCTAGAGACTCTGAAATCCTGTTTCCCTGGCAGATCAAGGAAGGCCTGCCTCATCAGAAACACTCTGCCAACACTTCTTGGCATTCTAAATTCCTGGAAATTTTGGAAGATGCCTTTTTTTTTTTAAAGCTGTGTGTCAGCTTGTTATAAATTTATAATTTATACCACCTAAAACTTTGTCAAGTTTTGTAGTTGAAGTTAACATTGAACAAAGACCTCATTCAGGGTAGTACCTCTTTATGTTTGATGATTTTGAAATGCTGGTAATTGCACTGAGATTAAGTTCTAAGAGGGCATTTGGAGGTTAGTTGGGAATTTAATGAAAGAGTTAGGGAGAGGCTGTCAACTCAAACAAACAGACCTCACCCAACCATTCAACAGTCATTCCAAAACTAATTCTTTACACACTAGCTTCCTTTCACTGACAGATGCTCCCAAATGAATCCTCGCACAGCAGACTTTGTATTCACATGGGGGTGTTGCAGGGCTCAGAAAGCAAACTTCACATAGTTAAGCCACTGAAGATTGGTCAATGCCATATAAATACAGTTTCTTCCACCATCACACCAGATGAGCCCCTGGGAACTAAAGGAACCAAAATATACCATGAAGAAAACTTCAGATTCTGTTGCTTCCTCATAATTATAATAAGAGTATAAAAGATGCTTTTAAAAAATATACAGTTAAGTCTAAAGAAGGCTTAATGCAAGCTGCCTTGTTACAAGGGCTGAAGTCAAGGTAGAAATAGAGAACAGAGCACAACTGAATTTGAGCCTCTAGTCATAAAGTCAGACATTCAAGGGCCTCACCCCCTGACCCTTCCAACTGACCTCCCCACCCCCTTTCAGCACCACCACTACCTTTCAGGGCTGGGCCCTTGCCTTCCAGGGCTATTCCCTTGGTCTGGAGCACCCTCCCCCCACTCTGCCAGCTCTGCTTTTCTGAAGCACAGCTCTCCTCAAGGTCTATTTCAGATAACACTTTCTTTGGGTTATTCCTTAAACCCCAGAGTAATCATTTTTCCTCTTGTCTTAATTTTTCTTATCCCTCTTATACCTTCTACTCCTTAATATAGTTACTTATGTAAATATGTTGTCTTCTCTACTAAATGCCAAATTCCTTTCTAGAGAGGAACAGCGATTCATCTTTTCATGCTCTACAACATATATAGGAATGCAGCATGTTTTTGTTGAATTAATTAATAAAGAGAGAATTTATGTATCAGAAAGTCTTGCATTTATCAAGAAATTTATAAGTTTTTAATAAGCTTTATGTCAAATTATGATCAATGCTCCTGGAGAAAAAAAATTGCCCATGAATTATTTGAATTATTTGAAGGGAATTTTTTTCCTCCTTGTTGACATTTTCAGGTCATTTAATTCCTTGCGGAAAATACCTCCATGATGAGAATACATTAGTTATAATAGAACAATAATATCACCGTTATCTTTTACCTGAACACTGCACACAGATTCCATTGTATTTGAGCTCATTTGCTTTTCGCATCAACCTCTGAGGTAAATACTATTATATATGCATTGTATAGGTAAGTGAGTGAATTTCCCAACATGACATAGCAGTGAGACAGCTGATCTCAGGATGAACACACAGGTAGTTTCTCACTAAGAGCTCTTACCTACTTATGTGTAGCAAACAGCACATTAGGGGGACCAGAAACTGTTATACTCCTCTCCAAAGGTATCCTGTTTTCTTTGCCTCCAAAAATAAGGATCATAATCTCGATAGCTCTACTGCAATCCTTTTCAGTTATTATTGTATCTATTTAAAACTAGATTTTTGGGAAAACCCCAAATTCATTAAGTCAGCTGTGAATCATTATCATAAGCCTATACAGAGCATGGCCAACCTGTGCACTGTTGGGGCTCACAGGATTTTGGGGCTTGTTGGTCTTCTGAGAATTGAGTCACTTCATTTTCACAAAAGTCCTCTTTGTAACTCCCACAGCTATGAACCCAGTAATGTGTCTATTGGAAAAGACAGTTGCATCCAGTGTCATATAGGACCTGTGGATGTGTGGGTGGTATGCCATGGAATGGAAGTGTGACATTCTGATTACTCTAAATAAGGAAATAATGATATCACTCAATGGATTGTAATGTTATGTGAGGTTACCAAATTTATTTCTTTGATGGTACTAGTTTCTCCTCAGTGTTTCTTTGTGAAATGTCAGAAGGAAAGAGATAGACATCTGTGACTAACTAACCATATATAGCAAGTACCAATATATTGGATAACCTTTTCCCAAATTGGTTTATATTCCTGAAATTGACAGGCAAAATAAGTTCATGGAATTAAAGTGTTTGCAATTAAGGGTGATAAATACATTATTAGATGTACTACATTTAAGTATACTATAAAAGCCTAGATCTCTGAATTTTTTAAAAAAGGAAAATATATAATTACTATCTGTTTAAAGTTGTACTGAAGATATTTAAACCAGAATGCTTAAAGCAAGGAAAGATCATTATTTAGAAGATTCATGTCTTCTCCAGGGGTGTTGTCCTCAAATTTTATAAATTTGATTATTCTATCAGAGAGCAAGAGAGAATAATTTCTCTTAGACTATCTTATGTTGCCTGAATAATGAATAATAATCTAAATAGGTAATCCAATGGAGTGAAGATTGTGCAATATTTACAACTTTATCAGAAAGTTTATAGATAGCTAATGTTGCTTCCTTACAGAAAAAAATTCCTTCAGAAAACACACATCCACATCTTTCCTCCAATTACAGATTATTTATGTTACACATATATATATGCAAATATATCCATTAAACTCCTTTCTCTATTGCAGTTATTTTAATTGTTGTCTTTCTCCTCAAAA